ACCTTGTCTGTGTTTCTGAGGAGCAGCTGGTGATCTTGAACCTCTGACGACCTTGCAGTCCAGTTCATTAACCTGCAGCACTACCCCAGGACTCTGCATAAGATCTAGTGACAGTCTAATGACTAAAGTAATTTTGAATAATAATGACCATTAACAACATTTTAAGATATCTGCAATAACTTATTACAATATGAATATCTGTGCTAATAAAAATCACAGGTCCTATTATGATTTGTTGCTGGCATCCATAATTGAAATCAAGGCTACATTTCCATTGTTGCCAATAAGTGCTGTCAGGTCAGTTCCAACTCATTGTAACCCTGTATAGCATTTCAAGGAGCTGCCAATGTGTTTGAACCATGAACCTTGCTGTTCAAGCCATCCTTATGGTCCAGTGTTTTATCCTATAGTGCCATTCCATATTTCCATTAGAGGTTATTGAGAATAAATACAACATACAAATAATTTTTATCAAACTCACAGACCTACTGAATTCTACTCACAAACATTTTGAGAAGTTGTAGTCTCTAGATTAACAACCCATATTCTACTCCTTCACACGCTTATATTTATGCTTTAAGAAGATATTTCTTGCTGTTATATGGAAAAATGATTGCAGGAGAAAATGTCATTGTTTTGCTTTTTTCCATCAAATTGATTTACAATGACTGCATGTGAAGAGAGTAGAAACTTACTCCATAAGGTTTTCAAGGCTGAGACCTTTTGATATCAGGTCACCAAACCTATGTTAGGAGGTACCTCTGGGTGTTAGTCAATCACATAACCAATTGTACCACCAAGCTACCTACTATAGCAGTGAAGCTACTCGCTGGTAGTGCACTTCCTAAAATGTCCATACCCAACGTGTTTCGTAACTGTTTTTAACAGCTGAAACTGGGATAACATTGGTAAAATACAAAGTGTTCCAAAATCTTCATTTTTGGATTTGTGACAGTCAAAGTTGGGGTAACAATTGATAAAATTCAAAATCTGTAAAGGAGAGAGAAATTTTTATGTAGGATTCCAGGAGTTACAAGTCAATCTAATTTTTATCTCAGACTTTCTGCACAAGTAAACTGCATACACAAATATTTTCCAGAGATCGTTATGACCCATTTCTGGTGTTAGCATAACCTGACTATCTGTTGTTTCTCAAAAATTTTCAGTTACTTCTCTTATTTCACTGGAAGGAACATTGGGAAAATGTTTTTTAAATATTGTGCATTTTTCTATATAATACTGGAAATCAAAATCAATAGATATTTTGGTAATAGTCAGGTAGATTCTGTAGTGAAGTGTATCAGGGCAGGGAGTTAATGGGAAAAAAAGAATCAAAATTTTGTTGGTAGTTAAGAATCTATACTGCTACTTTAAATGAAGAATAAACCTTCATTTATTCTTCTCCCCAATGTCTTTTGTTTTCCTCTTCTTTTTTTTTTTTTTTTGATAAAAGGACACTGTAATGAACCACCTACAAGGCAACCTACAGAAGAATTGAGGGAAGAGTCATGCGCAGTTGTGAGAGTCATGTTCAGACACTGGGATGACTAGCATGGTGAATTGATTATGTAAAAACTGTTGAATGAGTGTAAATTTTACTGTGTGTATTCTCAACAACAGCAACAAAAGAATTAAAAAAAAAAAAAATTAAATGCCTGCACTGACATATTGCATCCATACAGAAATCTTAACGAGGCTCAGTGAATGTGAGCTCAGATGGCAGTTAGGGGCTTTGCCAATTCCCCTGGAATGGAGTGTAAAAGCAAAAGTGTTCCGGCAGATGTTGTCTTCTTTTCATCCAACTTCAGGGGTTTCTTTACTTGATGAATTGTATAACTGGATGCTGTACTTTTGTGGCACTAATTTTAACAGTCTCTTGTGCAGTACTTGTTACCATATTCCAAATAAACACTTCCCTTATATTTTCATAATTCTGGACAAAATCTCTCTGATCACAGTTAACACTTGTTTATTATTTATATATAATCTGAATAAATAGCAATTATCACCATTCAAAGAAGCCTCCTTGAAGGCACAGTGGCTAAGAGTTTAACTACTAACCTAAGGGTTTCTGTTCATACCAGGACTTCCTACAAGTTTGAAGTAATCATGACCAATGTAGCATAGATATTGCATAACAATCAAAGCTCTAGCATGTGAAATTTGGACTCTATGAGGAAACAGAAAAAGGCGGTTGCTGGACTGCTTTGAAAATGTGTTGGTCACCATCTTTGAACAGGGTGCTGTTGCCTATTGTCTACTTGGGGCAAAATCCAACCCACAAGAGATTTGGTATCCACACATATGCTCTGCAAGTTATTAGTGAATCATTTCAGACTGGTTCAAACCCACCATTCATGCTTCAGGAGAATGAATCTTCTTTTATAAAGATTACAGCCTTGGAAACCCTGGGGAATAGAAACCTATTTCACTCTTCCTACAATATCATTCTGACTCAGAATCAACTCCATAGCAGTGAGTTTAATATTTTGGTTATCATTATTCATTTCCCAGTTAGCCTAGTGGTTACAAATTAGGCTGCTAACCTCAAGATCGGCAGTTCAAAACTATCAGCTGTTCCGCAGGAGAAAGATGAGGCTTTCTGCTCCCATAATGATTTACAGCCTTGGAAACCTTATGCAGGGTTGCTATGAGTCGGAACTGACTCCACAGCACACAATCACCACCACCACCACTTTTTATATAAATTCCATTTCTTAAGAATTTAAAACACTCTATTAAATATTTTTAATAGGTAAAAGCTAAAGACAACAAAAGAAAAAAAAAAAGACATTCCAAATGTGGGATCTTCTTTTAACCATGTATATTTTATTTTAAGATGTCTTTGTGAGAAAAAAACATACCGATCTACTTGGAATTGTGTATTTATTATTTTTCTCCTTTCACGCAAATCTTTGAATAAATTTAGCGGTACAATGAATAAGAAAAGTCCAATGTATAATATTTCCTTTAAAAAAATTCAGGCATTCAAAGGACAACATTAAATACAAAAAAGTAACAAAAACTAACAATAATTGGCACAGATCCAATATTTCAGTGATAGTTAATATTACTTAACATCTATTACAGAAATAAAACCATGCCCTTTAATTCAAGGAAGAATTTCTTTCCATTCCAGTACATGGCAATCTTCTACATAAAAACACAAAAGCAACATTAACAATAATAATAATATTAGCTAATATTCGTTTTAATTCTTAATGTGTGCCAAGCACAGATAAATATGCAGTTAAAGACCATTATCGTATAAATTTTAAAAAACTGAAGCCTAGAAGCATTTCAAACCTTGCTTAGGGTTTGCATCTATTTGTAACAAAGTGTAACAAAGAACCTACAACAGATTGATGCTGCCAAATTTCAAGATATATATCCCTCTAAGATTGATTCTGGTGTGGCGCTGTGGGTTAATGCGCCAGACTGCAAAGCCGTTTAAATTGCAAAGTTGGCGGTTCAAGCTCACCAGCTGCTCCTCGGAAACCCTATACAGGGTCGCTAAGGGTCCGAACTGAATGGACAGCACTTTACAACAACTGACAGACTTTGAGGCAAGAAGGAAAGTTTTATTTGATAAAAAATAAACAAGTATTTAAATTTAAAATGTGATTTTTATAACTAGGTTTAATATTGCATTTCTTCATAGGCTTTTATACATAATTTAACTTCAGATTTTAAATATTTGGCTTTGAACTTGTTTGTATTTAACCATATTAAGACTTTAAAGGTCCAAGATAGATGTACGATACTATTACTGTCTCTTCTTTTTGTTGTTGTTGTTGAAAAGAAGGGGTTTTTCTCGTGACTTTTATCAACTGTCTGAATCCATGATGAAAGACGCCTACTAAAACTTTTTTCATATACTTTAATTAACTCAAAGGGGCATTGTCTATTAGTATATTGTTTTTCTTTTTTTTTCCTACATGCAACATTATTTTGAAAATGATACAGCACTTATGCTAAGACTAATAATATTTCGGGATATTTTATTTTGGAAAAGAAAAACTTGTCATTTGTATAACAGTTAATAATTTCCTCAAATTTTTAGTCCCAGTATTTAATGAACTCATAATATCTATGATTTTCAGCAAGGTGAAGAAAGCATTATGCTTTGAAAAATTTACTTTCTATGATTTAACATCATAAACATCATAAATTGTCACTTGATTGGTAGTTTACTATACCACCTACCAGAATCCTGGTGTGGCGCTGTCGGTTAATGTGCTGGACTACAAAGTTGGTTTGAACCTCAAGGTTAGCGGTTCAAGCTTA